ATGTACCAGCACAGCGTGCTACTAGTCTGGTTCCCAGACCTAAGATTCATTAAAAATACAAATGTAGTCAGAATCTTTTGATTTGGGAACATGACTCAGGAGCGGATCAAGAGGGGGTATTTTGGGAGTCGAAACCCCGTCCCCAGCTCGAACTCAAAAAAGTTGTTTATATAAATGTATTACAAATATTGTTCCCCAAGGCTCTGACACCCAAAGAAATTATGAACAATAAATACTGCTAATAATATCTGCCCGTGCATGGCATTCGGACAGAACCACCTGGGGTACGGTGGTATTTGTACACTTTTCTGTAATATAGTGTTCGTGATTTTCGGATTTTAAAGGGAATGTACATCATTTGCTTTTGCTGCAATTTTCAGAAATAAATGGATTTGGAGGATAAGTATGTGTTAGCAAATATTGTTAAAATGACTTGTTTCACGTTTTGGACTTGTAGATGTTGGAAAACCAAGAAAACCATTCATGTTCCTGTAGTCTGGTTCACAGACCCCACTTAAGACGAAACGGAGAATTTATAGACTTTGGGGAATTGTAAGATCAGAGAGTCAGTCTAGTAGGCTTGTACCCCTTCACAGTTGTGTAATCAATTGCAAAGAAAACATGGAAAAACTAATTATGAAATATTAGGAGCAGTTTTGAAAATAAGCCAGTTTTCTCCAACGCTGGTCGGCCGACCAGCGTTGGAAAAAATACCATTTTTCTCAACAATGTCAGCACACCAGGAGCCACGATTTACAGAATGCTTTAGACTGTCATTCCCTAACAATCCAGCAAGGTATTTAGTGATAATTTGATCATTTCGTTTTGTAATGTTTGCAAATGTTGTATCTTCCCTTTAACAGCCTCCTCCCCTATTGATATTACGGAGGCCGACTGTCCGGAGAAAAAAAAAACCTGTTTACATTTCAGCACTGATTTGCTGATGACCCCCCCCCCCCCCCCCCCGCAAAAGTTCATGGATCCACCCCTGAGACTAGCTTCCTTACCACGACCAGCATGCTGCTGTACCCGCGCAGTGCAGCAATAAAGTGTGTCAATTTGCATGCTCGTTTTCGGAAAATCAGGCAAGAAAGTTGCATTTTCTCCCAATTTACTGTTCTTAATTTAAAAAAAAAAAGGTCGGTATAATAAAGGGACCGAATGTAGTATCCAGACGCCATTTCCGCGTTTTGTGTACAAAGTCAACAGAGAGTCCAGAACAAAAAAATCTGAGTATTCCTTACAAAATTGGAAATTATTAGATTTGTGTCCTTTCAACATTTTTGCAATAACTGACCTTCACTGAGATGATAGAACATAGGCTATATGAAAAAAAAAAGTGGCGTCAGGTTGCAACATTCCTTCCTAATTAAGAGAACGTTGTCTGAGGATGCAGACTTTGTAAAGGGCAAAACGGGTGTGGGTGAAAGCCGAAGCCCCCGGACCCTGTTGGAGCTTCCCGGAGCCTATATAAAATAACGTTATTTCTCTCCAAATCAATGAAATTATTGTACGAAACTGCCTTTCAGTGCTGTTGATAAAAGAAACGGCCCTAAAAATAAGACCGATTGTTTCGATCCAGAGTACATACCTACAATGTGTACATTGAAAAGAACGCTGTTCTGCACGTTTGCTGATAACAGCGCCCTCTGGGAATGTTATAAATATGGGCGAGTTGTTTAATCGCACAGTTGAACGTTTTAAATCGCACAGTTGAACGAAGGCAATAATGCCCCGGAGTATTTTTCATTATTTGAAAAGAAGCTCAACCGCGCTAACAATTCACACATAGTCCTTCTGTGATACATTGGGCAATATTCACAGTTTTTGCGAGCGTTTTAACTGAAAAATAACCTAGGTTCCGGGTACGCACTCGATATGGGCGAGCTGCTTAATCGCACAGTTGAACGTATATAGTTGGACGTATTTCTTGGTTGACAATAATGCCCCAGTAGTATTTTTCGTTTTTTGAAATAAACTCAACTTCGCTAACAACAACATGCCAAGGTCCTTCTGTTATATACAGGGCAACTTTCATAATTTTGCCGAGTGTTTTAACTGACAAATAGCCATTTCACCTACTAGATCCGGGCGCTCAGTACAGCTAGGATCCGGCGCCCTCATGCTAGAAACTGTTTCATTTTGCTACATTCCCAGAGGGCGCTGTTCAGCAAATGCAAAGGCGGCGATGTTGGTAAACTACTGAGCATCATATGCTGTTGCCTGTTGGGCTATTTCTTTTATATTACTAGCACTGACAGATATAATTCAAATTGTTTGTTGGAAAGTGGTGTAACAGTACAATGGAGGCTCCGGGTAGCTCCGGGTAGACTAGTTTTGGAGGCTCTGGGTTCTACCACCTGCCGGGCAATTTTTTTTTAAGAATACCCCATGATGCACTCCCCGTAGAAAATACTCACTCAAAATGGTGGTTCACACTTGCATGGTTGCAGTGGGCATTCACAAACATGTGGTTACTAAGGCAAAGCGTCTGCCGTTGTTAGGCAAATCTAATCCGATTACGTACTTACAAAGGTTGAGCGCATCCAAGTATGAAGTGTACTTATTCTCTAAGATGGTCCTACAAGCTCGTTTCTGTATCCTTTCAAGATCATGGATTTGCTTTTTTTGTTAAAGTACAGGGCGAGTAAAAAAAAACGCAACCCAAACCCCCAAATTTATATGTCATATTTAAAAAAATATGTAGCACCAAAAATAACAATGACTGGAAAGCCAATTTCATGAGCTACTTTTTGATGAAAAAGTTATAAATGTCTAAATCAGATCAAAGAAAATCACCATATAACCCAATGACCCTATAACCTCTTTCGTCCAAAAATTCGATTTCAAGAATCGTCGTCATAATTGTCTTTAAACATAACTAGCGATAATACCTCAGTTTAAAAGTTAAAGTATTCAACAAAGTCCGTTGAAGGCCCGTTTAAATAAAAAAAACCCTGAATTTAATAAATCATAATATGATTTATTGTTTGCCTAACCATGGTTGTTAATAAAGATAGTGTGTCCTACAGTTGTTGACAGTTGTTGAACCAAGTATTCTATGTCATTTTCTTTGTTGTTCCAAGCAGTCAGAATACACAATAAAAATTTTTTTGGACGAAACATGTTTTAGGGTCATTGTGTTGAAATGGTGATATTCTTTGAACAGATGGAGCAATTTCAGTGTTTTTCTTTTTCATTTAAAAAAATTATGAAATTGGCTTTCCAGTCATTATTATTTTGGTGCTACATATATATTTTAAAAATTAAATATAATTTTAGGGGTTTGGGTTCCGCTTTATTTTGACTCGCCCTGTAGAATGTGCTACAAAGTACATGTATACTTGTACATGTACATACATGTGTGTACATGCATTTTTACAACGCGCGTAGTTTAAGCTCCGCCAACTCCAATGCCTGAGAAAGATGTCATTGATTAAAATGCCAGTTGCAGGTCTCCCGCCAAAGTTTAGGCACTGTGTGGGTCGTGTCTTTGATTGACCTCGCGCACCCGGCTGGGATTTATGACCGACGGAGTCATAATTATCAGGAGAAGGCCAGCATGTGGAAGATTTGGAAAACCATTCACTATTTTGCAAATGCATTTTCATCGCATAAAGAACCCGAATGTCGAATTACAGGAGTCAAAACCTCAACATACGCACATGCGGGAACCACACACACGGGCTCATATGTTATTATGAACTTTGAAAATTCATAACCAAAAAAGTGCTCTACCGATCGTTTTCAAATTTGGAGACATTCATTCTGAGTATTTCATTTGTACTTCCACCAAAATTCATTGCCAAATTCATCGTAGATCTGGTTTTATGGCGACAGAAGTAACGCGGTGCCCATACTTCGCGATCACCTTCTCGTGCCGATCATGACGCGGCACCGCTTTTCGCGGCACTTCGTATGCACTCGGTTTCGGGGTGAAATTTTCCGTAGGGAAACCGGGCGTTCTGATTGGCTGGAGAGCTTCATCGTGAGCTTTACCGAATAGATCCGAAGACGTGCTTTCACATGTTGTGTGTTCTAGGTGAATCGGTTCACCAAGAGTGGAGATACAAAGTTTTGAAATTTTCAGCATCGTTTTTCGAGATGAAAATTCATGTAAATTACCAGGGAACAAGGTGTGTGTAAAACATTGATATTCAAGCTTTATATTGATATAGATGACAACGATTTACGATTTGAAGAAAGTCTACGGAAAGGGAATCGAAAATGACAGCACTTTTGGAGAGTTGCCTGTACGCGCGTAGTTTGTGTGTACGGTGTGCGTGCACTCAGTGCACCGTGGCTTTCCACTGCATGCCTACCTGGATGCGCTGCGTTGGTCGGCCCGTCACTGGGCCACGTGGCATGCAATGTGACATGGCCCGTGCCGTGGGACAAATGTTGCTCTGGTGTCAGGTCAACTCGCCCCCTGGCCGACTCGCCCCTTACCGACCGACTCGCCTGACTGACTCTTCCCCTAGAAAATTAAGCACCTTATACATTAGAGACACACTCTTGGAAAAAGTGGTCCGGTTAACTCATGCCTTAGGCCTATGATGGGACTTGCGGTTTGGCCGAAGTCAATTTAGCGTGATCGGCTGACTGATAAGGTTTACGCACAAAACCCCAAGCCAACGAGGTTTTTGTATAGAAAGCTGCCGAACCAAATTTTGCGAGAGTGTGTCCGTAATGGGGTTGAAGCCTGCCGGTAATGCTGAGCCTGCATACTGCCAAAGTTACCAATGGCATCCCTACATTTTCTCGTGCAAAAATTTGTGGACCTTAATTTTATCAAACCTGCTCTTAGATAAAAGCCCAAAAGCTAGGGAAATGATCCTCGGCTATATTCGCACGATTCCACCGATTTTTAAACTACACGGTCTCGTTTTTTTACCAAAAATTGTGGGGGGGGGGGGCACTTTTTATGCAAATTAACGACCCGCGTAGAAATTTTTGAGACCCTAATCTAAATTATTGCGCCACTTCTGATATATCTTCCGTTAAAGAGGAAATCAAGCATCGTAAGAGGTGACATAGTATTAAAGGAATAACAAATTTAAGTGTAGGCCTACATATCCATGGTCTCTTTTCAAGTAAACATACCTCAAGAATCGGTGATGGCCAACCAAGCAGGCAGAGTCAGTCAACCGTCGGTCCTCCCAGCTTATGGCAGCTTGAGGCAGGCTCATCCATCATAGGGCAATTCCCTCACCAGTCAGTGGTCCTCATGTCTGTAAAAAGATTCAAATGACGAAAGAAAATATCCGAATTATTATTAAGAAATATCTAAAAGGTAGAGCAAGAGGAGGGGGGCAGAAATGTTCGAATTAACCCCACAAAGCAGTGCCCCACTACCAGCACTCTTTATTTTGTAGAAGAACATAGAAGAGCGCCAGATCACCCATTTTGATTACTTGTTTCTGCTCATTCTTTAGGTACATGTTACTAAAAACTAACCTCAAGAATTAGTAATGGGAAGCCCAGCAAGCAGGTCATCCGTTCATCAGTCTGTCGGTCCTCCTCCCTGCTTCCGGTTCCTCGGGTTTCTGTTCGATGAGGCTGTCGGAGCCCTGACGATGTCTTGAGGCAGGCTCATTCTCATATCAGTAAAGCAATTCCCTCATCAGTCAGTGGTCCTCACTTTGCTGAAAGAATTCAAATAACGAAAGGAAACATTTGAATTATTGAGCTTTATTCGTGCCAGGGCTCGAAAGGGGAAAGAAAACATTGAATTAACCCCACAAAGCAAAGCCCTGCTACCAGAACTCGTTTGTGGACGAACATAATAACAGAGTCAGATCGCCCATTTAAATTAGTTCTGTGACTTGATTGTTCCTGTTACTAAAGAGGAGGCCTACATGTAAACTAACCTAATAATCAGGAATGGGAAGCCCAGCAAGCAGGTCATCCGTTCATCTGTCGGTCGTCCTCCCTGCTTCCGGTTCCTCATGTTTCTGTTTGATGAGGCTGTTGGAGCCCTGACGATGTCTTGAGGCAGGCTCATCAATCCCAGTAGAGCAATTCTCTCATCAGTCAGTGGTCCTCATTATTCTGAAAGGATTCAAATGACGAAAGAAAACATTTGAATTATTGAGCTGTAATCGTGCCAGGACTAGAAAGGGGAAAGACAACATTGAATTAACCCCACAAAGCAAAGCCCCGCTACCAGAACTCGTTGTTTGTGGACGAACATAGAAGAGCGCCAGATCGCCCATTTTGATTTTAGTTCTTGATTGTTTCTGTTTAAGTAGGCTACATGTACACAAACCTGATAGTCGGTAATGGGAAGCCCAGCAAGCAGGTCATCCGTTCATCTGTCGGTCCTCCTACCTGCTTCCAGTTCCTCGAGTTTCTGTGTGATAAGGCTGTTGGAGCCCTGACGATGTCTTGAGGCAGGCTCATCAATCTCAGTAAAGCAATTCCCTCATCAGTCAGTGGTCCTCATTTTTCTGAAAGGATACGAAAGAAAACATTTGAATTATTGAGCTATATTCGTGCCAGGGCTAGAAAGGGGAAAGAAAACATTGAATTAACCCCACAAAGCAAAGCCCGCTACCAGAACTCGTGTGTGGAAGAACTTTATAACAGAGTCAGATCGCCCATTTTGATGAGTTCTGTGACTTGATTGATCCTGCGAAGCGGAGGCCAACATGTAAACTAACCTCAAGAATCAGTAATGGGTAGCCCAGCAAGCAGGTCATCCGTTCATCTGTCGGTCCTCCTCCCTGCTTCCGGTTCCTGAGTTTCTGTGTGATGAGGCTGTTGGAGCCTTGGAGGGTTGATTTTCGTCCAGACAAAGCAGCCTAGCTCATCCATGCAGTCTCAACTTTTAGGTCATCAGTTTCTTTGATGAAAGCTGCAACTCTTTCCTAAGTGAACAGGGTTACGAAAACACTGGGCCTAGCCCATTTGTTACTGAAGTGAAACATTCCAGAGCATTATGTCTAAGCCAACCTGTAATAAGGCCACTTGTTACCAAATAGAAACTAAACGATTCTACCCATGTTTCCACTATTTACTTTTAAAAACAGACATGATCTTTTTTGTCATAATGCACACGAACATGTGCCGACACCGATAACGGCAGGTTGCCAATAAGTTGTACCCTTTCACAATGTACCTTTTTTGGTGGGGGGGGGGGGGGGGGGGCAATAAGGTCTTTTTGAAGGTACTTTTCGACAATGCCAACAATTTTGATGTTTTTGAAATACCGCTGTATATAACTGAAATTCAGTCATTTTCTAAACAGATATTTTGTTCATTATGGTGTGATTTTTTTTCTCGTAATTTCGTCAATTTCATTTTCTTTTGCTGCCGTCATTTTCCCACCGTTTGCCAATATTCGCTTTCCGACTTTTTGAGGCAATGTAGAACCGGTATTTACTGCTCAGCATAATTTCATCCTTTCTTTTAAATCTTAATTTCGGTCTTTTTTTCTGTGGCCAAATTTGGAAGTTTAGAAATTAGCATCAATTTGCATGTACATGTAAAGTTTACTTCTCTCGTTGCGGATGATTAATTTTTATGCCGTTATTTTCGTCATTTTGATTTGTTATTTCGATAACCCATTTTGTTTACTTTATGGTAAGACAAATAATACTGATTTCGGGTATTTTTACTCTCACTAACGCTGTGATGTTTTCCTCGCGTTATTTTCATCATTTTCCTAGCGTGTAGGCCTACACGTAGAAAGCGGAGTGATTTTTTTTTCGGAAAAAAAATTAGTTTACTATGTGATTTTCGCTACAATTTATTTTGGACCGATTTGTATTTTGTTTTCAGTTTTCGTCATACGCGTAGTCAAGTAAATATCCGGGTAGGTATTTTTTATTCCAATACTGCCTAACATTTTAAAGTTGATTTCGTATTTTCGTCAATTTGAGGTTTGCCTCTTCAAAACCGTAACATTTTTTGCCCGACGTATTGCAGTTCAGAAAAAAATAACACTGATTTTAAGTATTATTCCTTTCAAGTTCTGCTTCGATTTTACTTAACGATTTGACATTTTCGTAGCCGCAACGATTAATTTGATTTAAAAAAAAAAATTGTCTATTGTCAGAGACAACAGACGGATACCATTAAAAAATATCACACCACACAGAGAGCAATGCACACAAAGGCAAAAAAATCAAACATGCAACATTTACAATGAAACAAAATACAATCTACTTTCGAGTTTTTTCCCCCAAAAGTCATTCTCTCTGTAAGCATTTTTTTACTCACAGATAAGCTTAATAATGAACCGAGCTCAAAAGCTCTTCACAAATTAAAAATGTCTTTTATACAAATGTATGCAAAGTATAATTAACCAAAGTTATGACTTTTGATTTTACTACGATCATTAAAATATGGTCAACTGTCAACTGTGTCCTCACTGCTCACGGCAGAATAGCGAAGTATGCACAATGCGGCGCTTTTACAGACGCTGTTAATCCCCAGATTTTTTGACCTTTTAGTGTTACTATAAGAGCGTATATGTCACCTTAACAGAGAGCTCATTGAGGAATTAGTGTTAATTATTAACCAACAGTTTTCTCTGTATGGCTATTTAAGTAGTAACGTCCTTCCGTGTTTTTGTTAAATGGTTTAAGTTTTAATGTTCAAGTTCTTCTGAAGGAAGGGGCCTCTTGGAAATCGGCGCTACTAATATGCACCGAAGAGGGTGTCCCTTACAAGTGACACTGCACCAGGCATGGTCACTGTCAATTGCCGATGGCCTAGATTTTATGAATCTTGTTTGCTCTTAAACATATTATACAATTATAAAGAAATTATATCGTCGTTGGTGGACAACGCACCAGGCATTGCCACTTTCTGTAGTTGTTTTACTAACTTTGTTTAATTATTGTTTTGAGTTGGGCAAAGTACCAGCCAATGTCCGTATAGAGGGCAGCATTCCAGCTGATCGATAAACCATCACAAAATGACTCTCAATCAATTACAAAATCGACTAAGAATTTGCGAGTGAAGTTTCTTAATAGCGAAAATAAAATAAAATACACCAGTACTTTCAAGTTTAAAGTTTAGGGGGACAGTGTTATTCATTAGACTGATTTTCGTTTGCATTAAGTTAATGTTATTTTTATATATTTTTTTTTTTTTTTTTTTAGAAAACCTCTAAGCTCCCCATCGCACTGCCTGCAGGCTCAATGTGCGCATGCTCGCAGCGGGCTATGCTTGCTCCCTAATTTACTTTTGCTTCGTTTTCCCTAACACTGTTTATTGCACTTTGCTTAAACAGTGCCCTAGATTTTATCATCTTCGAAGTATGGTACACGAAATCGCGCGATTACGCAGGTACGCGGATATGCGGATACGCAGGTACGCGGATATGCGGATATGCGGATACGTGGGTACGAAGACCAAGAGGAGATGAACATATTGTTCTTATTTAGGGCCTACTACTATAAATATGACAATCACAACGTACGTACGTGATACAATTAATTTATCACATACGTACGTGATAATATAATATTACGAACTAACGCAATATTAGTATTATTATTGCGTACATACCTGATAAATAAGTACATATTACGTACGTACATGTATTGCATATGTAAGTGATAATACGTGTATCCTTAAACGAGTATACGTTGTGTATACGTACTTAATAATTATCACGTGGGCCCTACGTACGTAATAATTATCACGTGGGCCCTACGTGATAATATTACCTACGTACGTGATAATATTCAAGTACGTGCGTGAGTTACGTACGTACGTGACAATAACACATACGTAATAGTATTATGACAAAAAAACTAAATAACTCCCATGTCCCTTCACGGTCTTCGTACCAAATCGTCTCCGGTCAAGCCAAAAAAAACCCACGAGTTTGCCTAACATTACGTATGAATATGCCTAATTGTCGAACGGAAAAGCGATAGAACGCGGTGCGGAGGTTTCTAAACGCGTATGAGAATATTTCGCCGAATCTAACTGCCTATAACATTTTATCCTAACACTCCTACAGATCCAGCAGCGGCTTTGCTTTGCGGATGCTGCATAATGCACGCCTGCAGCGTCTGCACTCCTCCCAACTCGATCTACAAACAAAACTAATTAATTGTTTGCATCACTTGCACCAACGTTTTGCCCAGAATGTTGACTAGGTTTTATATTGTTTCAATTTATTTTTTAGTTTCTGAGACTGAGGTGGAAAGCGTCTTTTAACCTTCACCAGAAAGGGAGTTACATAAGACCTGCAAGTCAATGTGACAATGAAGGAGACACTGTCACAGGTTTATCATTGAAAATACTGGTGTAAATTAGCGAGTTTAATTATTCAGGGACAACAATATGAAAAAAAAAACTTTCCACTGGAATGCTACCCTTCAACTGTTCCACGTGCGAACGCAATGTCACTGCACGTATCAAATTCCTATGCAAATACGTGCGAACACAATGTTACTGCACGTGTCTGACGAATTCTTTCGAAATTGTATTTTCTCCCCACGTTGCATTATTATTGAATAAAATAATAATTTTCGTTCAACCTTAATTCTGCTGTAATTTATCTTCCATGTAAACTTTTCTTTAACATCCAATGAAATTTAAGGAGTTCTCTGTTTCAGGTGACAAAACTCTACTTTTACCAGAGCTTACACACGTTATACACATGTACATTAATCAGAGACATGTAACGTACCTCTTTCTACTCTTGAAGACATTGCCCCTCTTGGTGTTGATCTTGTAGTAAATGGTAACGATGTCTTTGTTAATACAAATAAATTTGACACAATGCGCACGTTCAATTAGAATAAACAATTTCATACAGAGCCAAAATGATAATTTTGAACAGCGTAATGAGTTGCATGCAGTGAGCGTGAGGAGCACAACGACAGTAATGAAGGCCTAGCCCAGCACCGAAACAACAGCTTAAGATAAAGCCCGTGCACGCTAGGTCGCTGTACCGTGGTGATCAGTGAGGCATGAATGTAACAATAGGGCTGGAGTCTGAGTGGAAATCTTCTAAAACACGTTATGAATGATAATGACGTAATCCCGATGGGCGATTACATTTTGGTCACGAGACTTACTTAGAGGGGTGGCACAGTTTCAAATTCATACTGATCAACTTGAGTTGAAAACAATTGCCCGTTTAAATACATTTGTGAAGGACGAAAACAAAATGCACTGCACCCACTTTTGGGGGTTGAATTTTTGGACTGACCGGTTACAGTCGCATCACCGGGGCACTTGCTCAATAAAAGGCATCTTCCGTTGGTGTAGCAGCGTATCCAGCTGGGTTTTTCACCGGACACTTGGCCTCCGTAAAATCAAATGGGGGGGGGGGGCTTGGCTGGTACCAAGTTTACAAAAATTGGAGCGCTCTTCGAAACCGGCCATTTTATTCTGGTTCTGTATCTGGTGGAATATACTGCATGCATAGTCTCATCAGTAGGGATGTAATATGCAGACGCCATGGTGACCGAGCAGATATTTACATGAAGCTGTAGCGTTTTCAAATTATCAATTCTCAATTATCAATTCGTCTTAATTTTCAGTTAATTATCACACTTTAATTATCAATGTTCCTTTTGAACTTTTTAATAATTGATTCTCTTGAATGCATCACTCATTGTTTTCCTTGTATACACATACACCCAGTGCCTATGCAATGTGTAGTCCCTATATTTTTATACAGAGCAAATGACCTTCACTGCCCACACACAAGTCTTTGGTTCTTAGTACAACCAAGTTACATTTTTAAGGAACTATATTACTCATTCCTAGTCATTTTTCTGAGACTCAAGGAAACCACGATATGACCATGGAGGAATAAGAACATTCCTCCATGATATGACTAAGTTTCCCCATTCTTAAATATTTCTTATTCTCAAGACTTCCTGTTTCCACCAGTATATAAGTGCTGCTCCACTAGCAGTATCTCATTCTGTTTCAATTCTATTTCAATTCCAATTCTGTTCCATTTCTATTCTAGTCTATTTCAGTTCACCCAGTTCTCTTTGTCTCAGTTCACTGTAACCAGTTCAATCAATCAATGTGTATTAAAATATTGATGTGGAATAAACAGTCACGGTAAACCATGGAGGATTCCTTCCTCCATGGGTAAACACAGACCTCAACCAAATTGTGTATCGGCCTATCCATTCCCCAACAAAGTGGGCCCCCTGATGATGTCATCTACGTTAAGAGACAGAAATTCTGACTTGAAAATTCCAATGCTTGGTGCTTGACGTATTTCCGGTTGAAATTTATAGTGTGCCCATTTTCAAGGCCCATTGTAGAGGTTTTAGGGCTCGGGTTTTCATATTGCCCGCTCATATCAGAACTTTCAGGCTATACCATTTTGGGAAAACAAATTATCCGAAATTTTAGAGCCAGTTTTGTTTTTATCTCGAGGGGACCGGCACATTTTATGCTCGGGGGGGGGGGGGGGCACATTTATGTCCGCAGGAGGGGCACTTGGGAAAATCTAGGGGGGGGTGGAGTGTTACCCCGGTTTCGCCGCCCCTGGGCCGGAACTGGGGACAACTAAGACGTACTAAATAATTTATTTCACGACACTGTCAACGATCGCAAAGTTCTACAACATCGTTTTTTTCGCGACATGAAATTCACGATAAATGTATGGTGGTGTACGATAATGATCATCGGGAACGGCAACGAAATAAACGTAGTTTTCTTCTAATGAAGGTATACGGTGTGTGGGTGGACTATGATTGACCGATCCAGTAAGCACCGCCCCATGGTGTTCTGACCAATCACAGCCGTGACTTATATGTCCGACGTGCTCGCACAAAAGTCACGCGCGTATGATGCGCGCGGCAGGAAAATGTAGTGTGGCATTGGATAGGAGCACGTGTTAATTTGCCCAGTGCGCAGTGGGCGGGGTTTACTGGACCGGTCCATTAATCCGGTTCGCCTAAAACGTCATACACCATTAGAGACACACTCTTGGAAAAAAATGGTCCGATTAACATGGTTAACTTATTCCTCATGATGGGACTTGCGGTTTGGCCGAAGTCAATTGAGCGTGATCGGCTGACTGATAAGGTTTACGCACAAAACCCCGAGTCAACGAGGTTTTTGTATAAAAAGCTGCCGAACCACGTTTTGCGAGAGTGTGCCCGTAATCATACTGACCGTTTTAGCCGATTTTCGGCTAACTTTGACAGCTTTTTTTGTAAAAAAAAACGAGTTTGACAGAAAATTTGACAGAATGGATTTTTTTGGCGGATGTCTGGCAGAATTCTTCAAAAATGTCTCCTTCACAAACAGCAAATTTGCAAAAAATGGTACATTTGGTTACAAAAGCTTCAATCTGTTCATAGAAACCCTTGCAAAATAGGACAGGTTGATTGGTCTAGGTGCTGAAGTTCACTGGGAACCTGAGTTCGTCGTCACGC